GAAAATTGAAATGAACTATTTATTACCATGAGAGAGAATTATTATAACCTCAATATCCTGTCCGAAATGAATTGACAACATGAATAGCAGTTCATTTATTAGTTCCTTAATATAATAATATAAATTTTTGATTCTGCTTGAGGCATATAAATTTTGATAAGAGGTAAACTTTATTCTTCAATCTCTCAACCTGAATTTCTATGACTCTGAAAAAAAAATCTATTAATGTCAATTAATGTGACGTGTTCCTGATCCGTTAGCTGAATTAAAACGTGACAGATAGGAAGGAAATGTATTCGTGTTACAGTAAAATTAAATATATCCCTATGCATACATGTTTTCCTCATTTGTATTCTCACGTTGATAAAAATTCACATGAGTTTTAAATTACTTTTCTCCAAACTCTATACTAATACAATCGATAAATTGACAAATTAATAGAAAATAATTAAATAAATAATACTAAAATAAATCATAAGTAAAATTTTACTTGTAAACATAGTAAAGTCAGTTATTTATGAAGATGATATTCAGGGATTAATTAGTAAACTCATAGATGAATATGCAAGCCTTGAGAGAGGCGAGGTGGGTTTCGAAAGTCACAAATAGATGAACCTCTACCTATCTCAAAACCGTATAAATTTATGAATAAATCAGATTTTCGAGCTTGTGTCAAAAGAATTTATATTTTTTTCTATATAAAAGATTAAATTTTGAGATTTTTCTATAACAAAAACCGGTCAAATCTTCTGGTCCCTCTGACATGTGTGAATTTTGCCTAATATTAGAGCTGTTACAGAATCCTACGATACAAAATCTTACTTGTTTATATTTTATTTTGTTGTCACTGATATAATATCAATAATACTATAGTTTTACTGTAACGACACCCATTATCATTCAGTAATACTATTAGATTTTTAACTATTAAAATTTATAATAGATTATTTATTTATTTCAGTTTTACATGCAAAAATTATCTTCGATATTAAACATTTTTGATTAAATCTAGAAAAATCTTTTAAATATTTCTTTATACACAATTATTACTTAAATACAATAAATTTATATACAAATTATATAAATAATTTATAATTTTAATAGTAAAAAATAAACATTTCTTACGTTTTTTCCCCCTTTTTTCTATGCATATTTTAATTATTTTTCTTTAGTATTGTACATATATTTTATACTAAAATTTATAATATTTATTACGAGAAGATCAGTTATTTGGGAATATTTTTATTTATTTATTTATCCTTTTTTATGTAACATTTATAAACTTGTCCAGACTGTGACATAAATAAGAATTGTGTCATACTCAGAACTTCTGTAATTCACCGACCACAATTGTAACATATATAGAAACTAATAACTCATCTAATTTTATTGTCACTGTTCGGTGTCATTTCACAAAATATCTACAGAAAATATGTCTGCAACAACTGTGTGTAAAAAATGAGCGCTGGAGCTGTCATTCCAATATAGGCTATATATATATATCTCCCAATCTACATTAATAACTTATACTGTAGAATAGATAGAAAAGAGTGTCATCAGGCAATTTGGTTTGAATCTTAGACAAAAATTGGTCCCAAAATTTAATTCTTTATATAAAGAACACGATATTTAAAAAGTATAGAAATGGTTTTTATTGATCTTATTCATATATTTTTTTGATTTTCTTAAAGGGATCGCTTCCTGTATCTGAGCCTCATCTCATCTCTTTTAGACTCTTAAATAAGTTCAAAAGAAGAGTGAAATTTATTATGTTAAGAATTTAAAAATTACTTTATCCCCATTTAATTTGAATATTGAGAGAATAAGAATATAATTAATTAATTTAAATCGAACAATATTCTGTTTTTCTATCTTGTTGATTAAGTTAGAGCAACGCAACACTTGGGCGATCTTCCGGGAGATCTTTTTAAGGGTAACTGGTCCCTATTCAGGCGTTACAGACGTGAAGAAAACCCGGAAAACTCCACGTGGCCAGCCCGTTCTGGCCACGATCGAACTCTCAGTGTTTAGGGAACGGAACCACTTGGCCACTGGTGGGCCCTGTTTTTTCTATCCTTCGATTTATACATTGTGGCCCATTTTAATCAATTCGCTAGAATAACTCGAAAAATACATATATAAAAAGTCACCAACCAAACATGTCAAGGGGGGTTCTAAGATGGGGTATCGGTTTCATGATAAATGGCGTTACAATAGGTGAAAGAGGGGTCAACTCCATTTTCTTAAATGAAAACCGCCATTTTTTATTGCGTATTATGATTATAAATGAAAAATAAACTTTTATCTAACACATTCTCTTTTTTTTTTTCGAAAGATGTACTTGTCAGAAGTTATGAGGGTTTGAACTTTTATGCCACACCACGTGCCATATCTGTGAAGTTTATTGAAGAAAAATACTGAAAAAATCTGTTAGATAGAGCGGGGACCCACTATGCACGAATTGTATGTAGTCAATTATTTAAAGAAACACTTTAATGGATGGTGAAATGGACGATGTGGGTCCACACGATTGCCGGATTTGACTTCATCAGACTTTTATTTGTGGGAATATTTAAAGAATGTTGTCTATGAATCGTCCATTTCACCATCCATTAAAGTGTTTCTTTAAATAATCAATAACTAGAGAATATACGGTCGTAAGAATTCCAATCAAACATACCACAAAACGTTTTATTAAAAACTATGAGACATTTGAAGATTTCATTCAGAAAAATGGAGACGTCTTTAAACATCGTTTGCCATAGGAGAACACTTTGATAGGCACTCACGTTAATTAACCATTCTGCTAAAAGTTTAAATTAAACGAAAAATGTATTGAGTAAATTTAAGATGACCTCGAGCTATGGCACAAGTTTTTGTACCATTTTTATTATCTGAAAAAAAGAATGATTCTACCAAATAATAATAGTTTCTCAATGACAATTTTTGCATTTTCTTTTTCCGTTTTTTTTCAATGGACTTTACAAATATCCGCAGATGTTCAAACACTCGTAACTTTTCATAAGTGCATCTTTCAGATAAAATTTATTTTTGGCGTAGAAATATAATATGCAATAATAAATGGGGGTTTTCATCAGTGGCGCATTATCCTATGGAAAAAAAGGTAATTGCCTGGAACCTCCACCAACAGGGGATTCCAAATCAATCATTTTAAAGAAAATCTTTCCTCAAAAACTTGGGAAATTTCGGGACAATGAAAATGTCTGAAACACTGTACTCGGGATCCTCTAATTCAAATTTGCCTGGGCCCCATAAAGCTATAACGCGCCACTGGTTTCCATTTAAGAAAAGGAAATTGACCCGTTTTCACGTATTGTAAAGCTATCTATGATAAAACACCATATTGTGGCCTCCTTGAAATCTAACAATTTTGGTTCAATGATTTTTTGTAGGAAGCGTATTTTTCGAGTTATTTTAGCGGATTGATTAAAAGGAACCATCCTACATTTGATGTTGATTTTTATTATAAATGATATGAATGATACACATTATAAATAATTGAGATAGCTTCTATAAAAAAGGGCATTGTTACATTGTATTTTAAGTATTGTTATGGTAATTATATTATGTAACCTTTCATTTATTAAGAAGTCTCTAAGTATAGGTTATGCAAGCGCATCATTACCTATTGTTACAATTAAACTAATTGTTGAAACATAATTCGAAAGATAAATTAATTATATTTTTGTAAATTATTTTAATCAAAATTTGTATTTTTTATTTTTATTCAGTACTTATTCTACTATTTTTTTACTTTATTTATATTGTTATAAATGTATTTTATTGTTTTATTTTATTTCATAACATAGAACATTTTTACTGTTTCGAATAACCTTACAACGATAAATATTTATAATTTTTATATATTTTAATATTAAACATAATGGCACATATATTATAATATTTTATTTTTTAAATTCCTTATCATAATTTTATAAAAGATGTATTTTCTATTTCCTAAAAATTATTTCTATCCTGCTGGTATTTTTTTCATATGGATCATAGGTTGTGCAGGCTCACAATAGACGAGACAATGAAGGATGGGAAATATTCATATCCGGGTCAAACACCTACAAAACTTTCTGAGTCGACCCGGAACTGAGAAATAACTGCTTTTCTGAAATTTCTAAACTGAAATTTCGGTATCCGAAAGCTGAGGGAAGTTCGTGTCTTATATTCTAACATAAAACCACATATAAATATGTGGAAAATTACATGCTAAATGGTACATTGAATACCATTTTTCTTGGATAGGGTCCAGTTTACCGCGGGCCCCATACAAGTTCTCGACGGATCTGGATACGTAAACTTCGACATTACCGAAAATAGTTAAGACACATTTCGCTCCTCTGAGGGACCAACGTCCAGGGAGACTATCCCTGGACGTTGGTCCCTCAGAGGAGCGAAATGTGTTTGTAATTTAGTAATCCAGCGTCTGGTCGTTAGTATGCTACTGTACTTTCTAGTGTTTTTACTATTTTTTCAGGACGAATTAAACTAATATAAAAATTATTTTAAATATTTATTACAACTTTTCCTCATTATTTTATTCATTTTTTATCTTAAGAATGAATTTTAAGAGCATTTTATAACATCACTCGAAGAAAATTTTATGTCTTCCTCCACGTATTTAACGAGTTAATATTTTTCTTTGAATTTCACTTAGTAATTTAATTAGAAATCGTGTCCAGGTTGGAACACTTGTGCTCCTAGTGTACCCTAGTGGTACCTAAAACTAGTGTGCGTGCAGGTTTTCATCATATTGAAAAAACTAAGTGCTCTAACGAGAACAGACTTTCATTTCAATGTAGTTTAAGGTGGATACATCTGACACACACACTGAGTGTGACTATAGCAATCTTTATAACAGCTCAATGTGAATTTTTTATTTGAATATTTATGCAAATTAAACTGGTTTTATCTTTTAAATGATGTCACGTACTGATAAAATTCATATTTTTTTTTTCTTATATTTATAGGGACTATCCTTTCTGGCCTTGATACTTCTAGGCGGAAGGTTATACGAAGTAGATCGAGAAGTGAGTTTTCTCGATCTAGTAATGAACACCTGGCTACCGAAACCAAGGTCGGAAAGTTCATCTTCCAAACCTAACACGTCTCCCGTAGCTTTATCAGCTAAAGCGCATCGACCTGTTGGGCACGGACCGGTCACTAGAACAATTACTATCGATCCTACGCGTAGACTACTTCATACGACAAATTTAAGGATAGATTTAGATTATTTTGTAGGTAAGTTATTAAGAACACGTTCTACAGTAATTTTGCTTTTATTTATTTATTTATTACAAGAGATTTAATTAATCTTATGCTTTGATTATGTTTGCAGTCGAATTATCTACGGCCAGAACTACTTTAATATTAAGTGTCGTGTTCGTTGCAATATTTATTTTAAGTTGGTGGTGGATGGCATTCGCCATCAAACAAGCTCGCGATGATGTAAGTTGCTGACAGTTTAATTTTTTTAATATATATATATAAATGTTTTTAATAAATAAACATTATTACTTAGATTAAGAAAGAGCACTTATTGATGTGGTTTGTTTATTTTATTTTTGCCGGAGAGATCGATGAGAAGGATGATCTTCGAGAGTTGATTTGTGTTTGTTCTTCTCTCTCTCTTTTCGTCTAAATTTATTTTTAAAAAATTCGTTTTAAATACTCATATAAAATCATTTTATAATAAATAAATTAACATTCTAAAACAATTTTTTAGTTTATTGCTGATAGTCAGAACCGTCGAGAAGTTGTATGGAGTTGGAGTAAACGGACCACTTTTACCCCTCACCGGACCCATTTTGACAGTTATTTTTTTTCTTAAATAAATGAAATTATTTTATTTTCTCTTAGTAAAAATAACATTAATTTATAGGGGTAGGAACGAACTAAATTTTCTGTGGATCGGGGAAAAACCCTAGCTCCTTCCTCTCGATGGTTCTGCTGATAGTTTATCAATGTACCGAGAACTAATCAAAGTACGTAGAAATAACACTTAATAATTAATACTAACTGAAGTACTAAATAAGTAGTCAATAGCGCTTTATAGCTGTATGGGGCCCATGCAAACTGAATTAAGAGGCCCCATATACTGTAGTGTTGACTTCAGACACTTTTCTTCGGGGGAATTTTTTTGGGGAAGTAGTTTCTTATAAAAGATTGGTTTGGGGGCCCTTTTTATGAGAATGCCCCATGCAATTTTTCTTTTTGCCCATAGGATAACGCTCCACTGTGAATAGTGCGTACTGTAGTAGTTTAACAATGTATTTCATCGAATTCGTTTAGTCTACTGACTGATTATACCGTGTTGAATAGAAGAATACTCTGTATATTTTTCTTGCATATCTTTTTATATTTTTTTTACCTTTACTTGAAGCACACATTTAAAAGAATATAAATAAAATAAACATTTATAAGTTTAAAGTTCTCAATTTAACGATAAAACATAAACCATAAAGACCAAAACAGTTCGAGGAAGAGGCCTAAAGTATTATAAAATACAGAAAAAAATAAAATAAAATAATTTCCAAGAAATCTAATTTCTTAAAAACTCGAAAATATTGAGTTTCCTGGTTGTTCTATTCAGTATTATTTAAATAATAATATGTTTTAAAAAGTAATAATGGCAATAACCCGTTTATCGACCTTTAAATTCCAGATGCACTTCGTGATAGAAAGTTGAAGATCAAGGCCATTACTGCAGGAATTTTCAAATCTAGGACTAAAAAAAAAACACTCTGATGACACTTTTTATAACAAAGACACCGACGTTAAAACGTTGATTTATTTTAATTTTTAAATTCATTAGTAAAAGTGTTGTTATTTCATTAAAATGGCGCAGTAATTAAAAAAAAAATGGGAATTGCAATATTTTAATTTTTTAATTTATGTTTATTAGTACTTATATAAAAAAAATCTAATTAAAGTAATTTATTATAGAAAATTTTATATAATTTTTTAGAAAATAATTTAGTTCATTATATAAATTTAATTAAAAGCAATTTAACCATATAATTTAGGGGACGGTGTCTCTTCGCACAGTTCTGTTATTGGCAGTATTTGCTGCTGTAGATGTTGCTGCTAGTGCTGGATTTATTCTACTTAGAATTATCATGGTAGGTTCAATAATTAAAA